AGGTTGCAGTTATTCTGTCGCTATTGTTGCAAATACATATCAAAAAGCAAAGAAAGCACACTTCATTGCCTTCTCTTAATTTAATTTTATTCTCTGCCCCATTTCACAGGTAGCAGAAATCTAATCCCATCAACTCAGGCTCTGACTCCTCTTATCTTCCTGTATGGTTCTGGGGAAGAGGTGCTTACAGAATGTCAAGGCTTTTTGGGATGGGGGCACTTGGGCACCAGTCCTTAGTCATGGTCTACCTGCACTGGCATCTGCTGGAATATTCCCATCCCATGACCACACTGACAGAGTGGTCATCCTTTCAGACCTGCAGGTGCTCAGGGCCATGTTCATATCACTCTTGGGTGCATGGGAAACCCTCTGTGGCACCCAGGCCACATTGAAGCATGGGGATCTTTGGACTGTCTCTGATCTGCCTGGCTCCTTGCCACAGGTATGAGGAACACTGAGATGTTGGCACTTTCAGCAGCACAGGGGCCTCTATTCTTGAATTTCCATACCACATGGCGCCCTTCCAGTCCAAATAACCTCAATCTGCCTGGCACAGTAACTTTCATCCTTCTGTATTGTCAGTGTTCTGAGTCCTTCAGAGTCCAAAGCCCAGATTCTCATGACTCCAGAGCCTAAACCCTTGACACTCATCTTACCTCTGCTTTTTTTTGATATAGCATCCCTTCCCACAGGCCACACATGTCCCTGACTGAATGGGGAAAGGATAAAAGCGTTAACGATTCAATCTACTTTTTCATCATACTGTTTTGTAGAGAAAGAATTAGGAAGTACAGAAATCTTGGGGGTAGAGTGGGTGGGGAACTCTCTCCAGGATTGAGAATGTTTTTGATGTTACTGGGACCCTCCTTGTGGTCTAAGCTTCCCCTCCCAGGATCCTGACTGAGCTCTTTCCCTGAGCCTGGAGGACATGCCTTCTGGAGGATCCTGCTCCCTTTGCAGTGGCTCTTTCTGTCCAGCCTGCCTCTGCTGCAGTCACCTGCCCCCGTGCAGAGGGGGCCCACAGGGTCTCAAGGCCCCCTTGACCAATTTTTTTTTGGTCCCGCCTCATCAGCACCCCTATTGAGCATGCTCCAGTATGCACCAGCCAGTCCACCACCCCGCTGCTGCCCGCTTCTGCCCAGTCGCCTGCTGCTGCCTCTCCCAGCACAGCCTCGCCACCCTTGGCCGCAGCCACTGCCCATGCTGCCACCGCCTCTGCTGCAGCCTCTGCTTCGAGCCCTACGGACAGTTCCAGGTAACTGGCCCACAGATGCCGGTCCTGACCTTGGGGAAGGGAGGCAGAAAAGGTCCCATCCCAGGACCATCTGTCAGCTGCTGTGTCCAGGGTGGTTAGGGCCCTTGTCTCCTCTCCCAACTCCAAGTCAAGACCAGCACTGCTTGGTGCAGTGTGAAGGGGAAACTAGGAGTGCTTTTCAGGGGAGTGCACCACCTGTGGCTGAGGACAGAGGCAGGGACTGTCACCCTGCCCTCCACCCCAGCAGCACACACACCACTGAGAGAGGTAAAAGTCACAAACACACACAAAGAAAGTTTGGATAGTAAAGGGGGACCCATGTGGAAAGTTCTTCTTCCTAGAACTCAGATTAGGGAAAATGAAAGTTGTTCCTATGGGCTGGGAAAATTAAGGAAGATTCCACAAAGAATGGAGCATAGAGCTGGGCTCAGAGGCAGATCAGATTTGGTAAGATAGAGTTTAATCATTAAATTGCCCACCTCCCCTACCTTCTTTTCTCTTGATATTAACACCAGAGACAACCAGTAGAGTAGGATTTAAATTTCCACTTCTTTTTTTTTTTTTTGAGTTGGAGTCTCACTCTGTTGCCCAGACTGGAGTGCAGTGCCACGCTCCTGGCCACCGCAGCCTTGACCTGCAGGGCTCCAGTGATCCTTCCGCCTCAGCCTTCCAAGTAGCCGGAACTACAGGCGTGTGTTATCACACCCGGCTAATTTTTTTTTTTATTGTAGAGATGAGTTCTCGCCAAATTGCCCGGGTGGGTCTCGAATCCATGGGCTCAGGCAATCCACTCGTCTCAGCCTCCCAAAGAGCTGGGATTACAGGCTGAGCCACCGAGCTCAGCCTAAATCTCCACTTCTTACATCACAATTTACCATCTGTAACCTTGAGAAGGTGACAACCTCTCTAAACCTGTTTCCTCAACTGTTGAACTGTTTAACAAACACCTATTTTATAGGGTCGTGATAGAAAAAACTGTCCATAAAACACCTAGCACATATAAAAGACACAAGCACTGTGAGTTCCTGCATTCCAATCTCCCCTCCTGGATATCTAGCAAGACAGAGGCCGAAAACTGGAGGAGGTGAGGAAAGGCAGAGGGGGCAGGCTAGACAGGTTTCCCTAGAGCAGTCAGGTGGTGCAGTAGGCCAGATGGGCCGAGCTCTCCATCTGGGCTTCCTGGAGCAGTCCACTTGGTGTTGTTTTTTTTTTTCTTTTTTTGAGTTGGAGTCTCACTCTGTCACCCAGACTGAAGTGCAAAGGCCCGTCCCGGCCACCGCAGCCTCGCCCTGATGGGCTTCGGTGATCCTTCCGCCTCAACCTTCCGAGTAGCTGGAACTACAGGCGCGTGCTACCACGCCCGGCTGATTTTTTTGACTTATTGTAGAGATGAGGTCTCGCTGCCCAGGCGGGTCTCGAACCCGTGGGCTCAGGCATTCCACTCACCTCAGCCTCCTAAAGGCACGGGATTACAGGCTGAGCCACCGAGCCCGGCTCACTTGGTGTTTTGGATCAGAGCCCAGCTTGCCCATCTCCCACACCGCCTCCAAGAGGTCTGTGGTACAGCCCGAGGTAGGAGTGATGGGGGCAAACTGCCACAGGTCTGTCTGCTGCTCCCCGCTCCAGGCTTCACAGTGTCCTGTACGGCACCCAGCCCAACTCAAGTCTCAAGGGGGAGCCTGGCTCTGGGCCTCCAGCAAGTGGTTTCATTCCAGTTCCCTGGGGAGATTTAGCAAGCTGGTTCCTCTCTCCACTAGAATCTCTTCTCACGGGGGCCTTGCTACGTGCACAGAGAAGAAGCTTTGAAATGGGCAAGAAAGTCTCTGTAGTTGAGTGGGAGAACTCTAGATGCTGAAGCCCCAAGGGCAGTTCAGCCTCATCCCCCGGGAACCAACCCTGTTCAAGCGCAGGTTCAGCACCAGGCTCAGGGTTTAGATGTCCTGGGCCTGCTGCAGTGTTCCCAGAGCCCTCAAGACACCCTCAACAGGGTGAGTCCTTTCTTCCCTTTGCCTTGCCAGGAGAGCTAGGACCTGGTGAATCTTGGAAACAGGCCCAGAGGACTGCCCAGAAGGGCATCAGGTTAGAGCAGAAGAGGTCAGGAGGTTGCACTCTGAGCCCAGCTACCTTCCCTCTTTGGGGAGGAGTGGAGATAGAGGGGTCCCATGGGAGGCAAGTAGACACCCCAGCCTTTTGTCAGAGCATGGCTTCAGAATGTTCAGTGTTCTGCTTCCTCTCCCAACACCAGCCCCTGACACAGGACTTGGGATGCTGGCAGTGTCCTCCACTGGCAAGGAAGTCTGGCTAAGACATGCTGACGCTTAGTCCTCTCCCATCACAGTGGAAGCCAGGCACTCCTTGAACACTGTCTCTTCCTCTTCAACAGAGGCCACTCACTACTCTGCTGGTCTCAGCACAAGGATCTATTCCGAGAAGGGCAGGTGGGCCTGGGCAGGGGAGACAGTGACTTCACTCAACTAGAAACTTGGCAACTTGACAGAGCAAGTCTGCACATCCCCCAGGTCTGGGATACTGGTTCCCCAAAGCTCACTTTACCTCCACCTTGTCTAGAGAAGTCCCATCAGCTCCTCTGCTCCACTCAGAGGCTTGGTGGCCGGTTCTTATCCCAGAGAGGAAGGCACTCCCTCATCCTACAACTCTGCCCAGCAGGGACGGGCAGGCCCCAAGCCCACGCAGAACAGGTAGAAGGAAGTCAGAAAGCTATGGGGGTGGGGGTAGGAGTGGCAGTCAATATATTTCCAGGGCTTACCTCTCCAGCACCTCTGTCAATGACCCATCTGCCCTGGGTATGGTCATGTGGTTTCCTTTGGGATCTGAAAGGATGCAGGGCCATGCAAGGATGTGATCTGTAAGGCATTCATTAGTTCTAAATGAAGAAAAGGATTTCACAAACAAATGAAGCTGTGGAACACTAGATAGGACAAGGTTAAACAGGCTGCTGTACTCCAGTTCTTGAATCCTTCAGCTCTTCAAGTACAGCCTCTCCTAAGGACAATGAAGTAGGACACTTTCCATCTTTTTGGTCCTATGCTCCCTGGGCAACTCATGGAAGAAGGTGACTCTAGGCCCCTTGACAACTAACCTGGTAGGAAGAGGGCAACAGGAATTCTAGGCAGAAGAGGAGTGTGGGTGGATGTGTGTGTGTGTGTGTGTGTGTGTGTGTGTGTGCGCGCGCGCGCGCGCGCACACGGGTGCACACGTGTGTGTGTGGAGGTAGCTCCCGGTGTCCCGGTGGTCTCCTGGCTTACCATGAGCCCTCCCTGGAGCATTTGTCGCCCAGAAACCTGAGACACTACTGCTCCTTCCAACAACAGAAAGGGGTAGGTAGAAGAGGGTCGCAAGGTCAAGGGGGTGGGGTTGCTCTGACCACCTCCATCTCCCTCCTCTCTCCTGCCTCTGCCCCTTCCACAGTCCTACCCAGGCAGTCGCTCCCCATGGGAGTGAAGGGGCTTCTCTCTGTCCAGTCTGGCTGATGCCCTTCCTCCGTCCCTCCAAAGGCAGTGGCATTAGCCACCCAAGGAGCAACTTCCTCCCCTCTAAGAACCCTATGGTCTTTCCTTAATAGGCTATGCCTGCTTCCCAGGGATGTCTCTGTCAGGTGTCTTCCTCACAGAGGCTCCTGAAGATCAGGGAGCCAGCCTGCCATGGCTTTAGGCCCCAGGACCCAGAATCCAGGCCCCAGCTGGAGCTGTCCTTCTGGCTGTAACTTTTCTTCCCTTGGTTCCAGGCCCCAGGCCTCAGCATACAGTCCCACAGCAGCCACCTCTCCAGCACCTGCCGCCCATACTAGCTACTGTGAGACCCCTGCTGCCCCTGCACCCAAGCCCCGGGTTGTCACCACTGCCAGCATCCGGCCTTCTGTCTACCAGCCAGGTGAGAAGCAGAACGCAAGAGGAAGTTATCTAAGCTACATGTGGGCTCCAGGAGTTGGGAGAGCAAAGGGTCAGCTCTGACCCTACATCCTTAGAAGGATTGTGGTCAGCAAGGCCCTGCTAATGAGGCTCAGTTCTCCTTCCCCCAATTGTGGGCCAGAATCATATGGGGAGACAGGTGGGCAAGAATGAGGGGGATAATTCTAAGGGAGAGGGAAGGAGCCTCATTCTGTGTCATGCAAGAGTGTGAGAGTTGGCCACGCAGCCACAGGGTGAAAAACAGTACGTGACAAAGCCTAGACTCAGGAGGAGATCCTATTAAGCACAATGCAAGACCTCAGTGAATTTTCCTCTGTGGCTGGAACACAGGGGAGATAAGACAGGGACTGAGTCGAAGAAGGGCCTTCCTAGTAGGGAGTAGTGGCTCGTGCCTACAGCCCCAGCTACACAGGAGGCTGAGGCGGGAGGATCACTTGAGCCCAGAAATTCCAGGTTGCAGTGAACTATGATTGTAACACTGCACTCCAGTCTGAGCTACAGAAGGAGACCCTGTCTCTAAAAAAAAAAAAAAAGGAAGGACATTGCTTAGAGGAGCTTGGACTTGAATTGTAGGAGGAGGTACCATGATCAGCCCTCTGTTTTATGAAGCTCACTCTGTCAGCTGTGTTAAGTGTGGGTGGTCAAAGTGGCTTTTGCATGAGACAGACTCCCGTGCCAGGGCCTGCCCTGCCATCTAAGGCAAAATACCTCCTCTCTGGCTGAATTTTCATGTACACCTCGTGCTCTGGAGATGAAATGAAGCACCCAGCACAGTGTGTCTCACACAGGAGGTGCCCTTCTCTGTCCCTACCGGGGCAGGAACTGAAAGTTCTGAGGTTAAAACGCCACAAGATGAGGTGGCACTTTGGAAGAGGCTGCAATGGTGAAAAATCTCGGTGGAAAGCGGCCGCCCCCGCGGAGACGGGGAACGCGCGAGGGAAGCTGAAGAGGAATTTGGATGCGAAGCGGTGGGCGGAGGCGAGGTCCCAACCCGGCGCAAGGAGGGCC